ACACAACTGAATAGAACTTACGTATCTCCGATTTTATATCTACATTTGAGTGAGGTGGAAGGGGTGATGTGGCATTAACACAAGACAGAACAAAATGTGGTATTAATAGGGTATTAATTTCATCAACACAAGACAGAACAAGGGTATTAATAGGGTATTAATTTCATCAACACAAGACAGAACTCGAAACAATGGATATTGAATAGAAGTGTTTGTAGAAAGCCTATTGGTCCATATTTCTTGATGCTTCTATATTGGAGCGGAGTCTTGAGGTGGGTAGAATATAGTTGTGCAATAATTGGCTGTTGATTGCTGGTGTTGACTTCTTGATGTGTAGTGCCTCGCAAACGTCAAGCCGCCTGCTATCGCTGTATCTATCGATGATTTCTGTGTTGTTTACTAGGATTTCTCTGGCGATGGTTTGGTTGTGGGAAGAGAGCAACCACAATATAATATATATATATATATATATATATATATATATATATGCCTCCTTCAGCTCCTGCAGAAGGAGGCATTTGAGCAGAGTTCCGTGCTGTGTTTCACTTACGAGATGCAAAAGGATGGGAAGCTGCCCTTTCTAGATGTAACAGTCATGGAAAAGAGCGGAGGTTTCTACACTGCAGTCTACACTAAGGAAATGAATATAGGAATGTGCCTAAATGCCAACAGCGACTGCCCAGACAGGTACAAGAGGAGTGTTGTTAACGCATATGTCGACCGTGCTCTCAGCCACAGCTCAGAATGGAAGCAAGTCGACGAAGAACTCTGTAGGGTAAGGCAGGTCCTAGTCAACAACGGCTTCTCCAATGGTTTCGTCGAAGACATCATAAGAAGGAAAGTGAAACGCCATGCAACCTCTGAAGAGACAACTAACACAACACCTATACCCCCTATTAGACTATTTTACAGGAACTTCTTTTCCACAGCTCATAAAACGGAGGAAAGGGTCCTGAAAGATATTGTTAATAGAAACGTTATCCCTACAGACAAAAATCAGAGGATACAACTGACGATTTACTATAAAACCAGAAAAACGGCCAGCCTACTCATGAGAAACTCTCCAGACACAAAACAGAACGCTTTAAAAGAGACTAACGTCGTCTATGCCTTCAAATGCCCACTTGGGGACTGTAAGCTCCAAAAAACCCAGTATATAGGCAAGACAACAACATCTCTTTCTAGGCGTTTAACGATGCATAAGCAACAGGGCTCCATTAAGGAACATATAATCTCTTCCCACAACCAAACCATCGCCAGAGAAATCCTAGTATAGGCTTGACGTTTGCGAGGCACTACACATCAAGAAGTCAACACCAGCAATCAACAGCCAATTATTGCACAACTATATTCTACCCACCTCAAGACTCCGCTCCAATATAGAAGCATCAAGAAATATGGACCAATAGGCTTTCTACAAACACTTCTATTCAATATCCATTGTTTCGTGTTCTGTCTTGTGTTGATGAAATTAATACCCTATTAATACTCTTGTTCTGTCTTGTGTTGATGAAATTAATACCCTATTAATACCACATTTTGTTCTGTCTTGTGTTAATGCCACATCACCCCTTCCACCTCACTCAAATGTAGATATAAAATCGGAGATATGTAAGTTCTATTCAGTTGTGTATTTGTGAACTAAAGTCTTTGAAAATGTAATAAGTTTTACGAAACGCGCCCGTGTCGCGTCAGACTAGAAATAAAAATGAATTTTGGAGAATTGATTTTTGATTTACCTCCAACAGTGAAGCGTAATGTACGAAAGATTGAGAAAATTCGTGTTAGAATTATTAATCTTACTTTTTCGGTCATATTTAATAATATATATATATATATATATATATATATATATATATATATATATATATATATATATATATATATATATATATATATGTCGTACCTAATAGCCAGAACGCACTTGTCAGCCTACTATGCAAGGCCCGATTTGCCTAATAAGCCAAGTTTTTCTGAATTAATATATTTTCTCTAATTTTTTTCTTATGAAATGATAAATCTACTCATTTCATTATGTATGAGGTCAATTTTTTTTATTGGAGTTTAAATTAACGTAGATATATGACCAAACCTAACCAACCCTACCTAACCTAACCTAACCTATCTTTATAGGTTAGGTTAGGTTAGGTAGCCAAAAAAGTTAGGTTAGGTTAGGTAGGTTAGGTAGTCAAAAAACAATTAATTCATGAAAACTTGGCTTATTAGTCAAATTGGGCCTTGCATAGTAGGCTGATAAGTGAGTTCTGGCTACTAGGTACGACATATATATATATATATATATATATATATATATATATAATATATATATATATATATATATATATATATATATATATATATATATATATATATATATATATATATATATATATATATTATAGGCTTTAAAAGCCTCTTTTCAGCCACAGCTTCAGCTTTAAAAGCCACAAAGAATTCAACCCCTGTGAGAAGACAGGAACCTTGGAAGGCCAGTGGTCGCGCACCATTGACACAACCAGTACTCTGACCCCTATACCACGGCAGATCGTTAAAAGAGATCGAAAGTTTGGAGTATTTACCCAACATTTTGACCCAACGACGCCAGCCTGTGATGTCTCTGTGGATCATTTGGGTACTCAGCTTCCACCTGTGTCCCCTTGAGCGTGTACCGCCGTGTTAAATAATCCACCCTTGTCAACCAAATCAATTTCACCCAGAAGTTTGCATGCTGTTTTTGCTATTTTATTTATACATATACAAAAAGGTACATTGGGTTGTTACATAATATTGGTGTTTGAGCTTTACATTTTTGCAAAGCCACTAACAAGCATAGCGTTTCGGGCGGGTCCTTTAGCTAACTGATAAATGTAATATAGGTACATTGTAGCAGAATGTGAGTTCAACATAATAATTACATTATAAGTTGATAGTATACATTATACTGGTGAAGTTACAAGTCTTAAGTTCTAAAATTGAATGGGTGGGTGGGGGGGGGGGGGTTAGCACTAAATACAGTGTGTGAAGCACGAGATGGAAAACTATGAGGATGAAATTAGGTAGTTTTTGGTTTTGCTTTTGAATAAATTTAGTATAGGTTGGATTTGTTTTTAATTCATTAGGGAGTGAGTTCCAAACACTGGGTCCTTTTATTTGCATGGCGAGTTTGCACAGATTTAGTCTGACTCAAGAAATATCAAAGAGATATTTATTTCTGGTGGTTATCTTGAGGTTATCTTGGTGTGGTGCTAATGGGTTCTATTACACTTAACACGGAAGAGTCTCAGTTCAAGATTAGCATTTAGGAACAAGGTTTTGTACATGTAAATAATACAAAATTACTGTACTATTTATGATTGTGTAGAGTGAGTGTATGTTTAGCATGTTTAGAGATGTAAACAGAGATGGTGTGTGTTGTCTGAAGACAAGAGTTTGTAAGTTCTGATAGCAGATTTTTGCTGGGTAATGATGGGCTCGAGGTAATTTGCAGTTTTTAAACCCCATGCACGGATGTCGTATGTAAGATAGGAAGAAATTAGCGAGTAGTATAGTGCAAGAAGAACAGAGCGGAGAACATATCTAATATTTGAAAATATACCAACAGTTTAGTTTGTTTTTGAGGGGGGGGGGGGCAATGTGTTGTATGTGGGTGCTGAAGTTTAGACTCATATCTATGTATAAGCCAAGAAACTTTCCACCATTTTTTATGTTAATATTGACAGTCTATCTGAAGGGGAATTTCGTTTGATGATTTGCTTCCTAATCATTCGACCAAATTTTAAATATTTGGAAAACACATTTTTCTATGTTTTGTGTGAGTTTTTAGTTGACATCCATGAGCGGAGTTTTTTAATTCGATATTTACAATATTATCTAGTGTGTGTGGGTTGGGGTTTGAACGGATGAAGGTAGTGTCGTCAGCAAATAGAATAAGTTATGTGAAAGTTTGTCGTCAGCAAATAGAATTAAGTTTGTGAAAGACTTTTGGTATGTAATTGATTTTTTTTTTTTTTTGCAGGTATATTCCTACGCGGGCCCTAAGCCTCTGGCTGGCCCACTAAGTGTGGGTTGTTTCTGTTTTACTTGGACAGAGTATGAGTATTTATGACTCGTATGGTCGCTTCAGTAAGATTTTGCCATGTGTTTAACAACTTCTGCTCTGTTGAATCTAAGTTGAAATCTTAATGGGTTTGTAACTGTGCACCGTGTTAGATAATGTTCCAGTGGTCTGTCGGGCATGTAATTGATGTACATAAGAAATAGGGGAGGCCCTAAGACGCTGCCTTGTGGCACTCCCACGGTTAATGATAGAGTGGGAGAGGTTATGTCACTGAGTGCTACCTATTGGTGTCTGTTATTTACCTATGAATTATGATCGAACATAATTTAGAGCAAGGTCTCGGATTCCATTGTGAGGATTTAAGTAAGACGTAGTTAAGGTTTACAGTATCAAAGGCCTTTCACAGGTCAATGAAGAGGCCATTTGGGAACTCATATTTGTCAAAGGCTGATGTCTAGTGTATATCAAGCAGACTAATAACGGCATCATTGTAACACGCCTTTGGGAACGGAAGCCAAACTGGCAGATACTTGTTGACGTTTACAAGGTAGGAGTAGACTTGTTTATAAGTATTTATAAATATTTTATATATATATATATATATATATATATATATATATATATATATATATATATATATATATATATATATATACATAGGCTTATATCGATGTCCCACACAGTAGAACCACTGACCCTCCACAGAATGTAACCCTCCAACAGTTGCCTATTCCCGGATACCTGTTTACTTCTAGGTGAACAGAAGCAACAATTTGAAAGATGAAAGGAAACGTGTCCAACACTTTGTCTCCCACCTTGAAATATTAAAAATATTAAACTTATTACATCTGTGTTAATCGCGCGAGCCTTGGCAACCTTTCACGGTAAAGTATTCCCCCTTCACGTGAGCCTTGGCAATCAAAGTGAATTTAAAAGTACTCACCTTTACTTTCTAAAACAAAAGCGAGAGTGGTCCCAAGTAGCAGAGGTAGAGGAGTACTGCGAGGTAGCCGTCCCGACCCCGTCCTCCCAACACACACAGCAACACTACACTAACCCACCTCGGACGCCTCCAAGAGAAAGTTCTCAACTGGCTCTGTGGACACGCCAAGACGCACCTGGATATATAGTGAGAGGGAGAGAGAGGAGAGTGGGAGCCGTGACGTCATCAGTGGGTTTTAGCGAGGGGGGGGGGGGGAATTCTGTGTACTGGGTCAAGCAGTGTTACCTCTCTAGCACTGGGGATTCCCTGCCAGGCCAAGTTTTACACTATGAATCGGTCGATAAGATCCAGTTGCTGGTATTTTCACAGTGTTGGGATATTAATAATTCATAGATTACAGACATAGATAAATAGGATGTCAGCTAATTTCACGGTAGACTTCTCTAGTCCACCTGACTGTGATGTGGCGGGGAGTAAAAGGCAGTAGCATATTCAGGAATTTACTCGAGGTGAAGGAGGGGGAAGAAGATGATTAAATCAAAGTTATAATTAATGTTTATTGAAAGTATTCACTTATTTTTATAATTTCTTAAAAAATAGCACTGACATGTTTAGAGAACATGCCCGGTATTCAACCAGAGAACCTCGGTCTAAGCCAAGGACGTAGGCTACTGAGCTACAGGAGCCATATGACAAACTTTCTTATCTATTATTATCTATACATATACCTCTAGATTACATATATGTGTATATATATATATATATATATATATATATATATATATATATATATATATATATATATATATATATATATGTCGTACCTAGTAGCCAGAACTCACTTCTCAGCCTATTATGCAAGGCCCGATTTGCCTAATAAGCCAAGTTTTCATGTATTAATTGTTTTTCGACTACCTAACCTACCTAACCTAACCTAACCTAACTTTTTCGGGTACCTAACCTAACCTAAGCTATAAAGATAGGTTAGGTTAGGTTATGTAGGGTTGGTTAGGTTCGGTCATATATCTACGTTAATTTTAACTCCAATAAAACAAAATTGACCTCATACATAATGAAATGGATAGCTTTATCATTTCATAAGAAAAAATTTAGAGAAAATATATTAATTCAGGAAAACTTGGCTTATTAGGCAAATCGGGCCTTGCATAATAGGCCGAGAAGTGCGTTCTGGCTACTAGGTACGACATATATATATATATATATATATATATATATATATATATATATATATATATATATATATATATATAGATAGATATATATATATATATATATATATATATATATATATATATATATATATATATATATATATATATATATATATATATATATATATATATATATCTATATATATATATATATATATATATATATATATATATATATATATATATATATATTTTAAATATATGGAAGGGAGTACCACCTCTAGCTGGAAGAAGGGGGACCATAGCCTCGGAGGAAACCACGCATAACGCATTAGAGGGAATGTTTAGATCCCCTCCAATACAGTTTCTGTGTGCTTTTCTCCTACCACCCCCTTCCTTTTTTATTTTTTGTGCTTTATTATGCATTTGATGGTTACAAGATATATATATATATATATATATATATATATATATATATATATATATATATATATATATATATATATATATATATATATATATATGTCGTACCTAGTAGCCAGAACGCGCTTCTCAGCCTACTATGCAAGGCCCGATTTGCCTAATAAGCCAAGTTTTCCTGAATTAATATATTTTCTCTATTTTTTTTTCTTATGAAATGATAAAGCTACCCATTTCATTATGTATGAGGTCAATTTTTTGTTATTGGAGTTAAAATAACATAGATATATGACCGAACCTAACCAACCCTACCTAACCTAACCTAACCTATCTTTATAGGTTAGGCTAGGTTAGGTACCCGAAAAAGTTAGGTTAGGTTAGGTTAGGTAGGTTAGGTAGTCGAAAAGCAATTAATTCATGAAAACCTGGCTTATTAGGCAAATCGGGCCTTGCATAGTAGGCTGAGAAGTGCGTTCTGGCTACTAGGTACGACATATATATATATATATATATATATATATATATATATATATATATATATATATATATATATATATATATAGATATATACCCCTCTCTCTCTCTCTCTCCTCTCTCTCTCTCTCTATCTCTCTCTCTCATCTCTCTCTCTCTCTCTCTCTCTCTCTCTCTCTCTCTCTCTCTCTCTCCTCTCTCTCTCTCTCTCTCTCTCTCTTGCGAACAAACTTGAATGGGTCCCAAGCCAATGTGCAACTGAAAACTCCACACCCCAGAAGGATTCGAACCCAGACAGCCAGGAGCACCATGCACCTTGTCGTACCTAGTACCTTAATCACTAGACCACACGACTGTATAAAAATCAATTACTCTCCAAAGTTCATTTTAACGTTTTATTTATGGTCTGACGCCTAGAAGCGTTCTGCATGAACACTTCTTATATTTTCAAAGATATTTTATTTTTACATACTCAGATCGTGCTTATATTCGTTTATGGGTGAGGTGATGGGATACAAATGTTGTTGGTTAAGGTGACAGGAAACAAAAGACAGAACACGAAACAATAGGTATACACATTGGGCATATAACCATGGGAATACATTCTATCTTCTTGCTTCTGTGCTGGTTCGGGGTCTTGAAGTGTGTAGAATGTAATTATGTGTTAATTGGTTGTTGGTTGTCGGTTTTGACTTTTTGATGTGTAGGGCCTCACTGATGTCGAGTCTCCTGTTGCTGTATCTGTCGATAACTTCTGTGTTGCTTGTTAAGATTTCTCTGGTGATGGCCTTGTTGTGTGAGGAGATTATATGCTCCTTGATGGAGCCCTGTTGTTTATGGATTGTTAATCGCCTAGAAAGTTAGTTTAGTTCATTTATTATGCACCCCATACCCATCTTGTGGGCGGTAGTGGAAAGGGTTACAGAGGCACATAATGGGCTCAGGGACTGAACCCCACAATTCATTTAGCTAAGCAAGTTACAATCTTGATGAGCTAGTTACAAAATTCAATATAAGTCGTCACATCAACAATGGGTTCGAGATCGACCTCAAGTACAGGTTCTAAATTAAGCAACTGACATATGTGGAGAGCTAGTGTCATAATTGATATGTTTGTCCTGCACACCGCCCCCCATCCAGTGGGCAGCGGTGGATAGGTTACAATCACTTAGTTACTACCTACAGTTAGCAAACTGGGGATATTTGGCTAAAATTTCTGGTAGCATGGCGAGACGTTGTCTTCCTTATATATATATATATATATATATATATATATATATATATATATATATATATATATATATATATATATATATATATATATATATATATATATATATATATATATATATATGTCGTACCTAGTAGCCAGAACTCACTTCTCAGCCTACTATGCAAGGCCCGATTTGCCTAATAAGCCAAGTTTTACTGAATTAATATATTTTCTCTAATTTTTTTCTCATGAAATGATAAAGCTACCCATTTCATTATGTATGAGGTCAATTTTTTTTATTGGAGTTAAAGTTAACGTAGATATATGACCGAACCTAACCAACCCTACCTAACCTAACCTAACCTATCTTTATAGGTTAGGTTAGGTTAGGTAGCCGAAAACGTTAGGTTAGGTTAGGTTAGGTAGGTTAGGTAGTCGAAAAAACATTAATTCATGAAAACTAGGCTTATTAGGCAAATCAGGCCTTGCATAGTAGGCTGAGAAGTGAGTTCTGGCTACTAGGTACGACATATATATATATATATATATATATATATATATATATATATATATATATATATATATATATATATATATATATAATATATATATATATAATATATATATATATAATATATATATAATATATTATAGATAATAGGATAATAATAGGAAGATAAGAATAATAATAGATAATAGGAAGGGAGTACCACCTCTGACTGGAAGAAGGGGGACCCTTAGCCTGGGAGGAAACCACACAAAACGCATTAGAGGAAATGTTTAGGTCCCCGAACCCATTGTTGATGTGATGACTTATATTGAATTTTGTAACTAGCTCATCAAGATTGTAACTTGCTTAGCTAAATGAATTGTGGGGTTCAGTCCCTGAGCCCATTATGTGCCTCTGTAACCCTTTCCACACCGCCCACAAGATGGGTATGGGGTGCATAATAAATAAACTAAACTAACTGGTCCCCTCCAATACAGTTTCTGTGTGCTTTTTCTCCTACCACCCCCTTCCTTATGATTTATATATATATATATATATATATATATATATATATATATATATATATATATATATATATATATATATATATATATATATATATATATATATGTATATATATATATATATATACTATTAAACATGACCGAAAAAGTAAGATTAATAATTCTAACACGAATTTTCTCAATGTTTCTTATATTTTTCTTCACTGTTGATGGTAACTGAAAAATCAATTCTCCAAAATTAATTTTTTATTTCTAGTCTGACGCGACACTTAAGCGCGTTTCGTAACACTTATTACGTTTTCAAAGACTTTAGTTTACACACACACAACTATAACTGAACAGAGCTTAAACATCTTCGATTTTATACCTGCAATTGGGTGAGGTGATATGTTACAATAGTTTTGGATGAGGTGAAAACAAACTTTCAACACAAGACAGAACACGAAACAATGGATATAATATTTTGTAAGTTAAAGGGAAGAATGGAAGTAACTGCAAAGGGCCTATTGTCCCATATTTCTTGATGCTTCTATATTGGTGCGGAGTCTTGAAGTGGGTAGAATATAGTTGTGCATTAATTGGCTGTTGATTGCTGGTGTCGACTTCTTAATGTGTAGTGCCTCGCAGATATCTAGCCACCTGCTATCGCTGTGTCTATCGATGATTTCCATGTCTTTTGTATTTTTTTAACAAAGTATATATATATATATATATATGTATATATATATATATTATATATATATATATATATATATATATACATATATATAAATATATATATATATATATATATATATATATATATATATATATATATATATATATATATATATATATATATATATATTAATTAGAAGGGGTACCACCTCTGGTGCAAGTGTAGGGACCCATAGCCTCGGAGAAGAAAATAAAGAGTACTCAGAGAAGACCTTGTG